CAACCTAGGAAGTGCATCTGGCCTTTATTCCAGGTAAATTCTCACAAATTAAAATATAAGAAACAACTACGTTCCCGGGGCACAACCCCTACTTGCTATAGTGCGAGATACATCGCTCCTCTTCTAGTTCTATAACCCTCGCTTTCTCCCTCTTTTCGCTACGGATCGAGTAAGTTAAGCTCGCTCCCACCTCTTCGTCTCCTCCTTCCGCCATAGCTTGGCGCAAACCATTCTCTCTGTAGCTCTTTTTTTTCTAACCTTTGGCAATTTCCGGCTTCGAAATTGTGTTCGCCTTTCTCCAAAACCCCCACCTTCCTTCTTTCCTGACTCGATTTAGTCAGGAATAAGGTGAGTTCGAGCATTCTTCTCTGTTCTCACCTCCGAACGTACCTCGTTCCTCTTTTCCACCCTGGCTGCCCGTCCTCCCCGCCTCTGCCCAGGCACTATTCTCCCTCCGCCATGCACGGTCACATCTCCCTTATTCCCTATCTACCCCGCTTTTGCCTTCTTTCCCATCACTTTCTTCGAATGAATCTGGCGTGATTTTCACGCCCGGTGCATTCGCTCCCTTCCCGTTATTTTCCCCCCATGCGCGCAGTTTCTATCCATCCTGTCTCGTGGCCTAACTACAAACACAAAAAACTAAGCTCATAATCTAACTCGCCTACCCTCAAAATGCTAGGATCGACCCCCCTTTCGCCCGTTTCTGCTACGGAACGAGCGAGCAATCGTTCTCCTTCCGTCATCTCCCCTCACCAGTAGCCACGTCTGCGCAGGCCTCTCCCTATTGTTTTCCCTCTACACTAATCCTCCTGCTATTCTGACACTCCTAATGGATTCGCCCTACGCCCGAACCAGAAGTTTCCATCTTCTTTCACTCTATTCTGTGGAGAATCGAGTGAGGTATCGATTCTTCTCTTCCTCATATTCACTCCGCCATGGCTTCACGCACCACTTTTCCCGTGCACCGCCCCACTCACCATCCCATTGCCCATTCTGACTGCACCATCCTCCTCGCAACTCCACAAAACCCCAGTTTAGTCTTTTACTTCGCTCAATTTCATCAAGAATCGAGCGAGGTATCAAACTTTTCCACTTCTCCTATAGCTCGTTCTCCGTATCCGTCACTACTCCTGCGCCCGACAGCGCACAGCGCCTCACTGCGTTAGCGCTCTCCGCTCTCCCTCTTCACCCGCTCCGGTCTACAGCCCCGGTACTTCCCTGTGCGCTATCGCACCGCCCGCTGCTCCCTAGCACTGCCGCCACTGCTCCCGCTCGTCGCCCTTTTCCTCCTCGCTGAAGCCAATTGGGACAAGTGCCCCGCATGCATCCTACACAGGATCCCGCCCAGATCCGGCCGCCTGTCTTTACCACCCTGTCGGCTTCGGCCCTGCCTCCCCCGCTCCGCTGTCGGGCCCTTCTCTGACTTAGGCGTATCATCCTTGCGCAGGAGCGGTGCTAAGCTTCTCTGCATCGTTCCAATTTTGACGGATGTCCCGAAGGACCCGGCCGGAGCAGCGCTCCCACGGCAACCCCGTAGCGACCCCCGTGCAGTGCCACTTTAACAGATGCCCCGAAGGCCCCGGCCGCGGTAACACCCCGCCGTAGAGCGCTGCCCGACCGCGCCTGCCGACCTAAGGGAAACTTCGGAATGAGCCAGCTACAAGGCGGTTCGATTAGTCTTTCGCCGCTATACTTAGGCCCCTACGGGTGGACTGCATGGTAGTGCTACAACCMCCCCTGCCGTAAATACCCCCGGCGTACCGCGCACACTCGGGCCGCCGTGCCCATCGCGCCCGCGACCAATTCCCGATCATCCGGGTCCCATACGGCCAGCCCTTAATCAGGCGGCTAGTCACACGGAGTGCCGCTTCCGGCGTGCCCTGCTGAGTAGCCTATCGCGGGCCTTGGCGAGCTAGGCCCGACGCCCCTTCCGCGGTGGCCGCAAATATTCAAATGAGAACTTTGAAGTCCGAAACGGAGTAAAATTCTGCGGGCATACTCACACCTGTAGAGGGTCCCTGCCACTCAGGTTTCTCCCACCTCGTGGGCTAATCACCTACCGGCTCGCATGCTTGTCGAACTCCTCGGACCGTACTTTGAAGGCGGCGACATAGATGAATTTCTGCCAACATTCCGAATACGCAGGGATCCATCAGGCCTGTCAAAAGAGGTGCGTGCTCATGGCCCCCAACTGCCGTTCCGACTATCTGCGTCTGTCAACGCAACAACTGGGCCAGGTTCGTCGGTCTCGGCATCGGCCCAAGGACCGATCACCAGCAAAGTCAAAAATTAAAAATAAAGCGGAACACAAAAATTAAGTAAAATCAGACCGTCGCTCCGCCAGTCTTTGGGTGTCGCGCACCCGTTTATCATGCAGAAGTCCCGCCGTTGTCGAAGTCGGCGTTGGGGTCGTTCTCCGCGTGCCTGCTCGACTCGGTCAAATGTACCAATCAAAAGAAAATATCCTTAATTCCTGCTTCATCAAAAATAAATAAATAATAATAATATCACCAAGCAAAAACGACTAAGGTCCGGGCCGGCTTTGCGACCAACAACAGAAAAGAATCACGCGCGCCTTAAACCTGCGCACCCACGCACTCGCTATTGTGGTCAACCATCCAGTCAACGTAAATCACAGACGCAGCCACGCCTAGCGCGGTATACTTAAACTTTAAACCAAAACTACTTTTTGTCACTCGCAAAAACCAGGGCGGATACCCTCGTAAGGGTATTCGCGTCGGCAGCTTACCGAACCATATTAAGCGACGTCCCCGTCGCTTCGCCAAATCAGAAGGCTATAAATCCATCCACACTCCAAATGCTGACGGGAAAGGAGCCAATCCGATTAGCCGACAAACACAGGGTAGACGCCTCCATCAAAACATGCCTCCACAACTATATGCTGCCAGGTTTTTAACCTGGGTCTCTCACCGCCCAGAAATTAGGACGATGACCGCATAAGTTTCAAAGACCTTCCCAATCGTCCTCTCCCCGGTCTTAGACAACCTTCGGTTTCTGGTTGGGTGTCCCTAGTCCTGGCAAAAAGTAGGGACGCGGGCCTTAATCGAGGCCTTTTAAAGACACTATCGCCTTCCTTCTCAAAATCTCTCGCAATCAAATACACATAAGTATATATGTATACATAATACTCGCTCAGCTCTTTCTGCAGTCTAGTACAGAAAGGCTAGGTCTCCACCTTGGCCCACCATAGCCTGGCTGATCGGACCAGGACCACGACCCACCGCATTGTTATTTAGCAGCAATACCCTCGTTGGTTACGCAACGATAGGTTTTTCTCCTGATAAGCATTCAATCTGGATTTCCCCCACAAATTTTCAACCATCACTATCCCACGGAGTAATTTCACTGGGGCGGGCACCACCACTTAAACTCTTACCCACGCGGTCCCGCAGCTTGGTTGCGCCGGCTAGCAGTCATCCAATGAGGTTACGCACTAGAGGTACTAACTTCTTTTCCGTTAGCTTTGTCTTTCTTCAATATGTCTCAGACTTAACACCAGTGGTTAGACGGGGCGTCGCAAAACAAAATCACTGGCCCATTGCGCGATACGCAGGGGTCCGAAGACGTTTACCAGCCCTCCCTCACTAGGCATAGCATCCTTCGCACGCTTACAAAGAAAATCACCGCTAAATCCACCAGGCCGTAACCCTTGACTTGATCAGAGTCAGCAGCCACCCACCCTAAGACATCTCTCGCCATGCACTCATTGCGACTTTCTCAAACATTCCAAACAAAAGTGACCCTTTTCGTCAGACTTTTATCACTCATCAGACAATTTTCCATGCCATAAATCAGTTTACTCACTTTTGAAGGTGAGTCTTCCAACAACAAAAATATCCCCTTTTCCAAAAACCCAAGGGGTTCTCATCATAAACAAAACACCCCCTCTTCCAAAACTCACGAGGGGTCTCGCCACATAACAAAACACCCCCTCTTCCAAAAAATCACGAGGTGTCTCGCCATAAAACAATACACTCCCTCTTCCAGAAATCACGAGGGCTCTCGCCATAAAAACCAAACTTCCCCTCCTCAAAACTCAAGTGGGTCTCATCTTAACACACAACATCACAAAACACCCCCGTTTCCAAAATTCAAGGGGGCTTATCATAAACGAAATCACCGAGAGACCATCTTATGGGTCCTCATAACAACTTAGACAATCAATCATCAACATGGTAAGCATTTTGAGCCTCTAGGGCTCATAGATCTTCAAAATCCTCACAACCTTTCACAGACAGGTTGCGCTTCCTCCCCTTATACTCTGCCTTATCAGCTGTTCGTGGACATGTCGCACAAGTATACCGAGGAGTAGACAGTTTTGCTTACAATCATATTCACATTACCTAAGACACATAAAAGGTTTTTCACACATTGTCCACACAAACTCATCATACATCAAAGCACAAGCACACATGTGAGAGAGACAAGTGATCGTCACATATAAGAATGGTTCCTGAAAAAATCTCATCATAATATACACCAAGGGAAATAAAATGTCTCACACAGAAAAAGTTTCCAAATCATAGCTCACTCAACTCAAGCCACACCAAACTCACGCTGACAATTATCGCTAAAATACATGTCAGATCTGTCTCTCAAAGCCAGTGCGTAGGCCACCTTAATATGTACATGCCTCATCTAGATCACCCTGATCCTCAAGACCCCAGCTCAGTAGGAACACTAAAGTTCAATTCTAGACTGGTAGCAATTATCAAAAGGGTCCTCTAAATCTAAGAGGGTATCACACTTTACCTAAGCTGATGCCTCACAAGATACTCGCCCACTTACATAAATAAACCGGCCCTACCTCCTAAACTCCTCCTGGTTTTGCCTATATAACTGAGCCCTTAGTCCATCTGCAGACTTTTCTACTATTCTACCCTGTCTATCATACATCTTACCCCCTGCCTCTGAGACCTTCCCTTCTGCCTTATCTTCAAGGAACTCGAGACAGTCCAGAGCAAGATGCATGCCCCTCTTGCAGTAGAAGCATAGCTGATCAACCTTCCTCTTGAATTTCTTCTTCCTGGACTGAGGAGGTGTTGATGAAGGAGATCCTACCAAGGTCACTGACCACCCCCTGCTGCTCTGATCGAGGGGTTGTAGTACTAACAACCTCCTGCTTCTCCATCCCAGGAACCGGTCCCCCAGACCCAGATCCAGTAGCCCAAGATCCCAGTCTGCTCCTCAAATCCACTGTCGCATTGACGTACTCAGGTGTGTCCAACCTCTGAGGTCTCCTCTCGAGTGTCTCTCCTGGCACTGCCATGGGCTGCTCCTCAATCTCCTCTGGTCCATACTCAGATGTGCCCAATCTCTGGAGCCCGCCCTCGATGGCACTGTCCGCCTCAATCTGCATCTCTCTCTTAAGAGGCTCCTCTATCCTCTCCTCGGGAGAAAACAAACTCACATCTTCCGGCATAGTATGCACCGCCTCAAGGAGCACACCCATGAATCCCCCTGCTGAGCCTTGAGCCGGCTCACTGCTAGATGGTGGCTGCCCCTCCTCTACTCCCAAAGGTACGACTAGGCCCGCCGCCGCCACTGGCAGCGTCGCGAGCTCGATAGGGGCTCTGAACTCGAATGCCTCTCTCTCCGCCTGTCTCCTGGCTCTCGCCTCCTCTGGCTCTAGGATAACCCTCCCCATAGGTGGCGCCTGGCGAGGCTCTGCTGCAGATGGTTGTCCTGGCAATCCATGTCCTAGCTGCCTCTGCTCTTCCTGCCTGCTGCTCTCTGGCTTGTCCACCTTTCTCTGAGTTTGTTGCCTCAGACTCTCAATGACAGCTGCCTGGCTGGCCACCAATGTCCTGAGTTCCTGGATTTCCATCTCCATAGCCTCCAGGCGTACTCTATGGCTTGCTTCCTTTATCTTTTTTCCTGCCAGATCGCCCTCCAATAACAAATGCCCATCAAAAATTGTTTTGGCCAGAGACTTAAATTTGCGATCTAACCTCTCTTCCGCCTTCTTGGCCACCCCAAACCCGGCTCTGATTGGCGAAGGAAGCTCCTCTCCTCTTTGCTCTCAGAAGTCCCTCCACATCTCAGGGATCTCCGGGGCCCTAGCTAGCGCGCTGGGTGGTTGACCTGGGAGTGCTCCTGCTGCCTCCGATCTCTGCCTCTCCTGCTGCTGCTCCGGAAGCTCCCCCGCTGCCTCCAACCTCTGCCTCTCTTGCCATATCTCGTCTATCCTCCTGGTTCTTCTCGCCCTCTTTTCCTCTGCTGTCTCTCCAGCTGGCGCCCTTTCCCTTGTGCTGAGGTCGACCCTCTTCGGGATCTCTGCCTCCATCTCCTTTTTGGGTTGGCACGGCTCCTGGCACGGCTCTGCAGATGCTGGCTCTTCCACGTCTGGCTGCTCCAGGGCATGAGCTGCTAGGAACCTGTCAATCAGGGTCAAGGCTTCTCTCCTTACAGCTGCCCTCCCTCTCCTCCTTTCTGCTCTCCGTTCTTGCGAAGGGCCCTTTTCTGATGTAGACAATGGGGCCTCCTCTCTCTGCAACCTCTCCCCTGCCTCGTGAGTGCTCCCTGGTGCATCCCCGAGTCTCAAACCCATCGCTGGCGTTTGTGGGGGCGTGTCCTCTCCAGCCTCTATCACTTCCTTCCCTTCACGTCTCCCCTCATCGCCCAGCCCTCTCTCTCGCTGAGTATCCTGGACCTCCTCCCGTGGCACCTCCTCTCGTGGTACCTCCTCTCGTGGTACCTCCTCTGCCTGCTCTCCATGCTCCTCACCCCGAGGCGACGCCCTCCACTGAGAGATATCCAAATGCGTCTCCAACTCCCTCAAGGGCCCCTCAGATGCTGGCGGCTCCTCCTGTGTGCGTGCTGGCGACCTCCTCAAACCACCCTTGGTAAACCGATGGAACTCCACTAGGTTCAACCCACACTCAGGGTATGCCCCTGGCTCCTCAGCCTCTGGCTCCGGCTCCGGTTCCTCTTTTCTCCTTGCTAGGACCTTCCGTCCTCCTCGAGATGGTCTTGCGTCCTTGGGCTCAGGGTCCCTCTGCCTCTGACTCCTCTGACGCCTCTCAATTCTGGGCTGAGGGAGTTCTGGCCGTCGAAAGGCCTCTCTCTGATGTGCCCTGCAGCTCTCCTAGTCCTGGGCCATGCTTCTAACCTGCCTAGCCAGTGGTCTTTCCACCTTCCTGGTCCAGATTGGTAATGTCTGCTTCCAATCGTCTCTCGGTATACCCATCCCTTGCATGAACCACTCAAACGCGGGGATGGTCTGGCGCATTTTCAATCTCCAGGCGGATCAACCTGCCATCAGGTCCCACAGGCGGGGGKCGCAGCTCCTGCATCCTCAGCTCGACCTCTAACCTCGTTGTCGCCTCTCTACGGATCCGTGCAACGGGCTCCTCGAATCTGCCGACTCCCGTCAGCCTCTCAATCCCCTGGGTCACAGTCCAACCCCTACGCCGCGCATGCTCTCAGAAGTTGTCTAGGAATAGCTCGATATCACCACCGTCGTACTCTGGAGTGCTCTCTCGATGGCGAGGCTCATGCCGCTCATATCCCTCTGATGCGTCCAACGGCCTCTTAGGCGGCCGTGTCCCCTTCCCTCCTCTTGGCATGGCTGTCTTCGTAAAGTCAGACCTGCACAACAGGCGAAGGAGACAACAGGCACAAATTGGGGTGAGCAAAACAGGTGATAATCAAAGCAAGCTCAAACGAGGCCACACTCATGCAACATGCATCCTACCTAACCTACACACCCTATTACTTCTATTCTAAAGGCAGTCAGGTCATCTCTCTTACCTCTTCTCTCGCCACAAATTTCTTCAGTCGCGTCCCAGATACCCAATCCTTCTACTCAGTCTCATTAAGCTCTTCAATCTGGTATGCTAAGAAGTCTCCAACCCGTACGATCCGGTAGGGACCTAACCACCTCTTATCGAGTTTCCTGAACCACTGCTTCTCCAAAGATGAATCATAGAGGAGCACGACATCCCCAACTGCCAAAGGTACTTTCCTCACCCGCGCAAACTGATCCCATCGAGTCTTATCATCCATTCGGCTTCTCGCTACCTGATCAGACGCCTCGTGGATCCTTTCTTCAATCGCCCTTATCTGCCGCGCAGGAATATCGAGCAGTTCTTCGAATGACAGGCTAACTTCCAGATCCTCGCACCTCCATGTCTTAAGAAAACTCTCGATACGGAAGGTGGCGTGCCTTCCATACCATAGCGTCGGCGGTGCGTACTTGGTGGATCTTTTTACTGTAATGTTCTCGACAAAGAACGCCGCTCTTAGGTATCTTGGCCATTGATTAGGCCTACCTTCGGTCCACTAAGCCAGGAAGCTCGTAATGGTACTATGTCCTCTCTCCACGAGAGCATTTGCCTGGGGTGCGCGGCCGTGGTGTAGTTGGCTGATACACCATACCTTGATAACAATTCTTGCACCTCCTGGCAGGTAAACTCCGATCCCCTATGCATTACATATTCCCTGACGAAAGGATAGCGTAGATAGTACTCCTCGATGCAGCTTACCAAGGCTGACCCGGTTTTTGTGCGAATATCACGCCCGTCTTCGAAGCCAGACAGGTTATCGCGCGCATCGAAAATATAGTTATAGCCCTGATCCCCAAGCGGCATAAGAAGTAGATCGAGATGCACTACAACCCCCACCTCTCGCTCTAGCCTCGGATGCAGCGGCTCTCCCTGCCTTAAACGGGATCTCTCCTGGCAGGGTACGCAAGATCGGCAGAACTTCTCGACCATGTCCATCATCTCATCCCAGTAGTACAGCTCACTTATCTTGGCATACGTGGCTTGTACCCCTCGATGCCCTCCTGCAATGTCATCATAAAGCGCTGCTACGACTTCGATCTGACGATTCCTACTGCAAACGACTCTCCGTGGATTCCCCACCTCTCTTCTCACGAAAAGGTGGCCGTCTCGCACTAAATAGCGCTGCAGCATCTTCTGAGCCCTATCGCTTGCATCCCTTAGCCGCATTTCAGATGACAGAAGAAGCCCCAGCTCTAGGTAGATCCCGTCATACTCCTCTGCACGAAAAGCCTCCTTAATCTCCCCCTCCTCGAACTCGTCGTCCTGACTCCCAGGCACTTCGTCCACATTCCTTGCCGGGTTCAACGAGCCTGACTGGTCAAGGCTTTCCTGCAATAACGTGTTGACGAGGAGATACATTCCTCCCATCAGATCCTCATGCCGTTCTACCTGGCCAGACCCTTCCTCAATCATCCTCATGTCTTCTACCAGACTATGCAAACTGGCATGCGCTAACTCCATCATCCACTGAACATCCTTACCACCAAAGGGATCCTCTTCTTCAAAGGGTTTGAGGATTAGCTCGGCCCTCCTTTCATACCCATTCGGCGCTTGCCAGATAGGATAGCCTACACAAGTGGGTACTCGCGGCGACCACTTGTTGATATGAAGACGAACATCTTCTTCCTGGTCGTGATATGAAGTCGCAATTTGACCTTGACCGGCTCCCGACAAGGAGGATGTGCTTCCTCCTCCCTGGGAGTTGTCGCTTTAAGGCCTTCAATGGCGCCGGCACAAAACCGCTCAGTCTTGTCGAGGCAATGACCCACCTCGGTTCCTACAGCGCCTACCAGCTCGCGAGCAAAGTCCCAGAATCCCAACCGTATCGAATGCACATTTATGTGCTGACTCCTACTAAAGTCATATTGCTCCACCTGAATTCGTGTCAGACGTGCAACATTTCGAGCTATGACTCACATTTGGGCAGGGAGTTCAGTCTGGGCGGCTAGTTGCTTTTCTATCCTTTTTACCTCCTCTAATTATTTTGCCGCCTCCGCTGCCGCGTCCACTCTCCTCTTCTTCTCCCTTATCACTGCCAACCTCCATTCCGTTCTCGTCTCATCCTCCATTGTCTGCCGCTTCACAACATTCTTTTCTGTTTCCCAAGCTCTCATAGCGGCTTCCTAATCGTCCTTAGAGATATACATCGCCACTTCTTCTTCTTCGCCCTGGGATAAGTTGGCGACCCACTCTGAGATCCGCTTCTCCATCTCCTCATCCCTACTGCCACTGTACTGCCCCTTCTTCCTCTGCAGCGGCGTTTCATCTGCTTCCTCCTCTTCCACCTCTTTCAACTTCGCTTCCTCTTCTTTCTGTATCCTTTCCTTCTCTCTGGCCATCTCTTCTTCTATCTTCTTCAATTTGGCCGCCTGCTCCTCCTTCAAGGCCTTCTTCTTGGCCTCCTTCTTCTCCTTCCTCTCCTACAAAATGGCGGTCATCTTCTCGGTATACTTGTGCGACCTGCCCACGGGCAGCTGATAGGGCAGAGTATAAGGGGAGGAAGCGCAGCCCGTCTGTGAAAGGTTGTGAGGATTTTGAAGATCTATGAGCCCTGGAGGCTCAAAATGTTTACCATGTTGATTATTGATTGCCTAAGTTGTGATGAGGATCCATAAGATGGTCTCTCAGTGATTTTGTTTATGATAAGCCCCCTTGGATTTTGGAAAAGGGGATGTTTTATGATGTTTTGTGTTAAGATGAGACCCATTCGAGTTTTGAGGAGGGAAAGTTTGGTTTTTATGGCGAGACCCCTCAAGATTTTTGGAAGAGGAAGTGTATTGTTTTATGGCGAGACCCGTCGTGATTTTTTGAAAGAGGGGGTGTTTTGTTCTGTGGCGAGACCCCTCGTGATTTTTGGAAGAGGGGGTGTTTTGTTCATGATGAGAACCCCTTGGATTTTTGAAAAAGGGGATGTTTTTGTTGTTGGAAAAATCACCTTCAAAAGTGAGTAAACTGATTTATGTCATGGAAAGTTGTCTGATGAGTGATAAAAGTCTGACGAAAAGGGTCACTCCCCGCCGAGCTACGGACCCACGTGCGAAAGCTTTTATAATGCAATTGCAGAGGTAGGCCGGCCGAAAGCGTTTGCTCGTTCGTTGTAGCATAGGTACGCATGGTTGAACGCCAAAGTGGAACCGAACGTCGTTTGTTCCTGGGGAGTTGAAGACGGCTCGCGGGATCAGTTAAGCATCGTTCGCAAGTTGTCTCTTGATTTTGTTTTTGTTTAACTCCTGTCTGACATAGGCGGGCGGATTCCCGCCTTTGCGAAAAAGATAGGAGCCGATGCCGATGCGCTCGACATCGCAATGTGGAGGGCTCAGGAGGGGGGGTGGTGAATCCCGGGTCTGGGTTAGAGATGGGGGTTGCAGAACCCTGTCCTAAACCATTGGGTAGAAAAAAAGGAAAACAATTTTTTTTTCTTCGGTATGGGGTCAGTTGGCTGCAGGGGGGATTGATTGATAGATTGATTCGCGATTGATTGATTCATTCATCAATTAATTGGAAAAAAAATATGTGCGCGTATCTACTTGTGTGTGTGTATGTGCGAATGTGTGTGTGTTCGTGTTGTCATATTCCCTATACACTAAAAAAACGTATGATTGTGTGAAACTGTTTCATCGGACTTTCACCGACTCATCAGAAGGTTGAACCAGACAGTCACGTGCGTGAGCTTGTGAGCACCTACAGACGCGCGCACACACACACACACACACACACACACACACACACACACACACACACACACACACACACACACACGTGTGCGCACATACACATATGTTAATGTGTGCATCCATACGCACATACACGCATACATGTGTTGTAATATTCGTTGTACACTAAAAAAGAAGGATGATTGTGCTAGACCGTTTCGTGGGACTTTAAAAATACCCATCTTTTTTTTTTTTTTTTTTTTT